CTTTTGGTGGTCTTGGGGAGGAAGTAAGAGTTCCTTGATAGTCTTCATCATGATTGTCCTTTTGAACCCATCCTCCAGAGCATGGGCAGTTCAGGGACAGCTGGGCAGTGTCTCCCCCAGGCCCACAGCTCAAGGCCAGTTGGGCACATCCTCCTCCGTGGTCACGGTTTGTGCGTAAAGACAATTCCTCCTTCATCCTTATCTTGCCTCACAATGAAGCAGGCCTTCAAGTGATAAAGACCCTACTTGAGCACAGTGAAGCAGGCCTTCAAGTGATAAGCCTCGCCAAAGGCAGGGAGTTACACTCTTGTTTCTCCTGATTAGGCAATACCAAAGACAAGGCTAGCTAGCTAATATTGAAGAGACTAAAGCATATCACACGTTTCAAAAAAAGAAAATATTTTCAGATATTTTCTACTTTCCCATCTCATACGGAGCCACAAGACTTCTTGCTTCAGTTAATTTGTACCATATTTAACAGAAACATCAATCAATATCTACTAATTCAATTCCTTGGGATATACAGCAATCTAGATAATCATTAAGCAACACCTTATTTACTAAGATTCCCTTAACACCTTCTTTCACTTTCCAGGCTCCTTTTCCAAGATCCCTGTCCCACCTGCTCGAATCCAGCCCAGCCAGATGCTCTTCCAGGTCCATCCCACCCGGCTCAGGCAAACACCTCTGCGCACGCTGAGGATGGCGCTGTGACAGGCTGAAGGGAGGAGGGTCCCTGGGATGGCAGAGCCCTTCAAGGCGTCATCCCTGGGGGGGGGACACGGACCTGGTCCTGTTGACGAAAGGTCACAATCACGACAAACTTAGCTACACAGTTGCAGATAAGCAGGCAGTTCTTATTGCAGCACTGGGAAGCACGGGGGATAGCTCCACCTTATGTGCTTCAAAGTTACATTAAAAAAATACAGCGTTTTATATCCTTTTTCTTTTATATCCAAGCAAAGTCATGGTCTTTAACATATCTTAATATAAGCATGCATGTTATGCCCACTATTAATTTTGACATTTACAATGATTGGTCCACCCTATTAATTAACTTCATTAGTATTCCTATACTAACGTAATCATTGGTTATCTTACTGATCAAGATCTCTGATAAACAAATTAAGATGAGGAGGATGTGAGGGTCTTCACCTTAACATTCCTTGGTTTCTCTGGTTTCATCACATAAGATAAGAAGGCACGCCAAGAATGCGCACTTTCACTCCCTGTACCTGTCTCCCTGCCTCCCTGTTCTGTTCTGGACAATTTCAAAATTAGCAGCAACTTTAGCTTTGACCTTCTCCGTAAGGCCTGCATCTGTTGTTTCTTAGCATAAGTGAGGTTTTATATATATTTCTTACTACAATGTAAACTAATTGCATTAATACAAAGCGTTAATTATTCCTTAAAGCAATTAAGTCGTTCATTAAAAGCAATTAGTTATCAATGAAAAGCAATTATCTATTCGAAATCCAAACTTGATTGTAACAGTCCCTCTGGGCCCTGCCACCCTCGGAGGGGATGAAGGGACCGACGCGTGTACCCGTGCCCGCGGGTGCCTGCCCGTCCCGCGGGGCGGCAGCGCCCCCTGCCACGGCACGGAGCGGCGGAGCGATGCGCTTGCCGCCTCCCCCCTTACTCCGACCCCCCTCCTCGCCAGGCACAGCCCTCTGCGATGTCACCCCCTTATCCCCGGGGCGGGCTGGAGAGCCCGGTGGTGGCGGCGGAGCCGGGGAGCCCCCGCCCCGCTCGGCAGCTGCCAGCCCAAGGAGCCGCGGGGGAGCGGGGATGCGTGAGTGTGTGTGTGCAGGCATGTGTGTGCGTGCATGTATTTGTGTGCATATTTGTGTACGTGCACGTGTATGTGCATGCGTGCGTGTGTCCATGGGTCTGCAGGACCGGGTGCCAGCGCAGAGGACAGGCAGGAGTGCAGACAGACAGATTGGGCTCAGGGAGGGAGCACACCCCGGCGTGGAGCGAGGGGTGATGCTGCGAGCGCAGCCACTTCCTCGCACCAAAGCGCGTTAGCTTGCTGGAGCCGCCTGCTCCATATGGGAGTGATTCGGGTGACCCAGGGGTTGCAGATCTGGAAGTGGGGAGACCCCAGGAAGCTGCTGGGTCCGTCTGCATCTTCCCCAGCTGAGCCCGGACAGCTGGGCACTGCGTGGGCCCCCACGCCGGGCAGTATCAGGACGGCAGAGGGGCTGATCGATGTCTTACCACAGACACCACGCAAATGGTAAATCCCTGCGTTGCGAAGACTGCTGGTGGGCTGGTGGGGCTGGAGACGGCTGCGCTGCCCTCCCCCGGGACTCAGAGTCAATGGAGTTTATTACTTTAACATCATTTCTTCTCTCTTTCTGAAGAGCATCTTTTTGGCAGTGCGCTTTGCGAACAGGGAGAGGTAAGGTCTCAGTATCGGGTTTTGCTTGCCCAGTGGTGGGAGAGGAAGCCCCTGGCACCCTCCTGGCTCACCCACCAGCCTCTTTGCTGATGGAGGATGAGAGGGAGAAGGTGAATAAGGGCAGGCAGCTTCTCCACGCTGAGCTCCGACGGGAGCGCAGCGGCAGGATTTCATTAGCCTGCCTCTTAAGGCAGTGAAGTCTCCATCCCCTCCCACACTCCCTCCCCAGCCCAACCCTGTCCGGCGCAGGGGTGGTGGGACCTCAGCCTTCATCTGGAGCTTCCCAACAAGCCGTAAGTCCTTCTTGGGTTGGGAAATCAATTTTCCCTCTGCCTGTTTTATGGTCGCCCTGTCAGTCCCTCTGCATGGCTAGTCGAGTTGCAGCTGGGATCGATTTTGGGGGTTGGCTTTTGGGCTGTATCCTGCTCTGCTTTGAGACCAGGGAGAGGGGACAGCCCTGCTGGCATCCCCCTGACAATGGGGTGAAGGGGCTAAGGTGGGCTGGATGGCTGTCTGTGGATGGAAAGTGGGGCAAGGAGTGCTTAGGAACCCTGCATGGAGGCTGGGGGGAGATTTTGGGTGATTTTTCAAAGGAAAAGCTGGGGCTGGGGCAGGATGGGTGTGAAGGTGCAGAGCTGTGGTGATCAGCAGCATCCTGGCACCCTGACACCAATGGGGAGAGGGGCAGAGGGAGCCGGGGCAGCAGAGGGGTTAGGAAAGGGTCCCGCAAACCTCTCTGTCTCTCCGCAGCCATGAATCCCTACGTCAACTGTTCTGGCCCCGAGTTCTCCCTGTCCCAGCGAGACTTTCCTGTGGAGCCCATCAGCCCTGATCTCTGCAATAGGATTCACTCAGAGACCTTGTTCGACCCCAAGGATGCCAATCTGACGGAGGAGCAGCTGCGGGATAAGTACCTGGGACCCCGACGGTCCAGCTTCTTTGTCCCAGTCTGTGTCATCTACCTGCTGATCTTTGTGGTGGGAGCAGTGGGCAACACGCTCACCTGCATCGTCATCCTCCGGCACAGGTTCATGAGGACGCCGACCAACTACTACTTGTTCAGCTTGGCCGTGTCCGACCTGCTGGTGCTGCTGCTGGGGATGCCACTGGAGCTGTACGACCTGTGGAGCAACTACCCCTTCCTGCTGGGCGCCAGTGGCTGCTATTTCAAGACGTTGCTCTTTGAGGCCGTCTGCTTCGCCTCCATCCTTAATGTCACAGCCTTGAGCGTGGAGCGCTACATCGCCGTGGTGCACCCACTCAAGGCCAAGTATGTGGTGACCAGGAATCACGCCAAGAGGGTCATCGTCACCATCTGGGTCTTGTCAGTCGTCTGCTCCATCCCAAACACCAGCCTCCATGGGCTGCAGTCTCTTTATGTGCCTGGCCGAGGGCAGGTGCCTGATTCAGAGATCTGCACCCTGGTGAAGCCGCGCTTGACCTACAACCTCATCATCCAGATCACCACCATTGTCTTCTTCTTCTTGCCCATGGGGACCATCAGCATCCTCCACCTGCTCATCGCCCTGCAGCTCAAGAAAGAAAAGATGCTGGAGGCCTTGGGAGCCAAATCTGGTGGTGGCTGCTACTGCCACAACACCCAGGGGCAGAAGAAAGTCAAGAGGAGGCAGGTCACAAAGATGCTGTGTGAGTCTAATGCTGGGGATGGGCAGAGCCAGGGGATATCTCCCAAGGCTGTGTTGGAAGGGTGCTGGGGGGAAACTGAGGCACAGCCAGTCCAGAGCACTGAGACTGGGTTGTCCCAGACAAAGGCTGCAGGGCTAGCTTGTGGAGTGTTGGGGCAAAGACAGATCTGGTGGCTGCAGTCCAGTGGTGGGGATTGCTCATGCTAGCTCCCTCCCAGCCACGAGACCTCCCCTCCTGCAGGAAAGTGCTGGGTGAGAAAGGGAAAGGAGCTGGGATGGGGGAACCTGCCCCCTGTTGCTGAACACAGACCTCATGTGCTGCTGGTGGTGGTGGTATCTCTCAAAGAGGGACCAGTTCTTACCCAGCCCCTCAGCCACTGCAACCGTCCTGTGGCAGTGATGCACTGACCTAAGGCTGGACTGGAGCATCCCTCTGTCCAACTGCTCTGTGCCCTTCCTCTCCTCCCCAGCACCATCCCTGCAGCCTCTGGCCCCCTTCCCAGCAGCAGGAGCAGGAGCTGGCTGCCCTTGGGTGGCCATCTCTCCCCGGCATGCTGACCTCTGCGTGCTCCCAGCCCCGTGACAGCACAGCAATGGCAGGTTGCCCAGCCCAGTCCATCAGTGGGGCCAGGGCTGCTTTTCCAGCACGTGCCAGACAAGTTACCACTTGTCTGCTTCCACTGGCACCAGGGCTAGGAGGGAGACAAAAAGCAACCTGTCCCCATGTACCACAGAGATGCAGCATGGCACAGGTATGGCAGGGCAGGGGACCCCAAGACCACCTATGCATCACCCCCTTTCCTTTCCATCAGCAGAGATGGGTTAGAAAAAAAAAACCCAAAACCAGAGCACAAGGAAAGGGCACAAATAGCTCTTGCTCCTTCAGCTTTGCCAGAGTAGGTGGCAGGGTGCCCAGAGGCTGGACGCCCACAGGGGCATCCCTGAGCTGAGCTGCATGGCTCCGGGGCTGTGGCAGGGCCAGCTGCCTGCCAATGGGGAGCAGAGGTGCATGGCACAGCAGCACCTGGAGCAGCTCTGGCAGGAGATGGATGGAGGGAGAACCTGTCCAGACCTCCAGCTCCTCCGTGGCAAGTCAAAAATGCACTGGGGTGGGCCCTTACCCACTGCCCCTTCCTCTCTCCCATGCCTTTTTGGGTATTCTTTGCTATGGCCGAAACCAAAACAGGGCAGTGCTTGGCCAGGGACTAGAGGTCCCTGGAGAGGGTGAGCCTTGTCCCCCCAGTAACACCAGCTCCTTGGCTCCCCGCAGTTGTGCTGGTGGTGGTGTTCGGGATCTGCTGGGCCCCCTTCCACACCGACCGCCTTGTCTGGAGCTTCATCTCCACCTGGACCAGCCACATGCTCCACATGTTCCAGTACGTCCACATCATCTCGGGCGTCTTCTTCTACCTGAGCTCGGCTGCCAACCCAATCCTCTACAACCTGATGTCCACCCGCTTCCGGGAGATGTTCAAGGAGGCGATGTGCCACTGTGGCCACCACCCGCTGCAGTCACGGAAATACTCGCCCAGTGTCACCCGTGCCACCACCCGCAGCACCGAGTGCGAGCCCATGCCTGGTGCCAATGGGCTGCCCCTCTCCGATGCCAAGGAGCACAAGCTGGAGGAGGTGGAGAGGGGCCAGGCCACCACCCAAACAACATCCCTCTGCTGATGAGCAGGAGGACGCGGGGGGGCTGGGTACCAGCCTTCCCCACCACCAGCATCCATCTGACTGTGGCACCCATCCTGTGCTGGGGAGCGGGGCAGGAGCACTGGAAGGGTCGCTGTCTCTCTGTGCCATCCTGCTGGGATGCGAAGGCTGGTTTTCTCAGCAGCGCTGCTCCAGGTACACGGTGGCAGTGGCCATGCTGTGCCCTGGATGTGTTGCACCGACTGTGCTCAGCACCAGCACTGGCCAAGGCCAGGGCATCCCTCGTGGTGTGGGGACGGATGGTTTGTACATCAGGGAAAAACTTTCCATCCCTTGTGGCTCAGCAGGGTGAGTCCACGGGTGCGGGTGTCAGGGGTGTCAGGCACCCTGCACTGTTTTGGGACACTGTGCTAGATGGGTGCCCCGAGAGGTGCTCACACCCGGGCTGAGACCCAGGGGAGCAGGAGAGGTTTGCATGGGATGGAGTGGGGAAAAACTGGTCTGTGGATGCCTTCTCCCTCAAGACCTCCCCAGGGCCCTCCGGCACCGACGTGCCCCTGTTTTTCTTGCACATCCCTTCAGTGGTGCCAGCTGGCATCCAGCTGCAGGGTGCTGGTACAGCGCCTTGCTCCCAGCCTTCCTGCCACCCTGTGTCCCCAGGCCCTTGAGGGCAAGGGAAGGAGCAAAGCCGCTCTCTCCAGAGCTGGAGCCTGTGGGGGAGAATACAGGACAACAGGAGCCCTAGGCTGCCTGCAGTGCCAAGGCACAGCTCCATGCCTGTCCCCATGCCCCACGAATATGCCCCACTCCCCTTTCTCTGACCCACATCTAGAAGGTGCCACCCTCCTCTTCCTCAGCCCGCCATGGCCCCGTGCACCACTGGAGAATGAAGGGAGCCTTCCATCCCTGCCTGAATGGGTTGAGCCTCATTGAGAACTCAAAAAAGCTGTCGGCCTGATTTGTGCCCTGGTTGTGTTCCCCCAGGACCCAGCTCTGCTCCCTGCACAGGGCTGAACCGGGGCTGTCCTCCTGGGGGGTGATGGACAGGCCATGTGCCAGGGTGATGGGCAGTAGGGGTGTCCCACCAGCTCTGCTGCTGCAGTGGGTCTGTGGGGCCAGGTGGGCTCAGGGCACGGTGTGGCAGGGAAAGTGTGAGAGGGATGCACCTTTCCCAGTCTCCAGCATACTTGGTCCGAACTGGGCCTGGGGCCATTGCAGAGGGGGAGCTGCCTCCAGAGTGGTGACGATCAATCAGTCCCCAGACACGTGGCCCGAGAAATGTCATGAAAATGCCAGGGAGCACAGGCTGGCTGGTTGTGCTCCCCCAGGCTGGAAGGACCTATCGATTTGCTGTCTGAGATCTATGCCGCTGACTTCCCAGCATACGCCAGGTCCTCCCGCAGGAAGAAACATCGGGGCTCCAAAATGCCACCCGAGGGGCTGTCCAAGCAGCTTGAGATCTTGCCTTGCCCAACTTCCCCAGCCCTAGCTCTCCCCTGTCCAGCCAAGGAGGTTCCTCTGGCTCAGCATCCCTCAGCCGTACCTCTGGGCAGAGGGGATGTGTCAGTGGGGCTCGCCTGGGGACTTGAGCAGAAATACGGAAGGAGCAAGCCCCGGGCAGAGCACTGGCAGGGGCACCACTGCCTGCTGCTGCTCTGCTTCCAGCCCTTCCTAAGCACATCACACAGGGCCGTGGTCAAGACCAAGAACGGGCAGGATTTGGGGGTCGCAAACTCTCTTCTGCCCCCATCGACCCGGTCCCTGGCTCGGGGGCGGTGCAGCTGGCTCACCCCAACTCCCCATTGCCACAACAGGGTCTGCCGTGGGCAAAGCCCTTCCTCCGGCCCTTGTGGGGTCCTGCTGTGTGCTGCTGCGTGAGGGTGGGCGTGGGGCTGCAGTAACTTCGCACTTCAGGGTCCTGCCAGCTGCTCACAGTCTCTCTCCAGAGGATGTCAGCGTGGCCAAGGGTATCGAGATCCATTTATTTCCTTCCCCCTCCAGCTCACATTGCTGGTGATCCTGGCAAGGGACAGCACCCTGGCAGCTGTGCAGGGCCCCTCATCACTGCTGCACGGGTGAACGTGACTGACCTCCTTGATGGCTATTATTGCCCCATCTCCCTTCACCCAGCCACTTCCCCAGCCACAAATCTCCAGGGAATGGCTTTTTAATAGGCGGTCGATAGCATTTTATTATATAGTGACAGCCGTCTGTGTGGAGCTTCGGGGTCCCTCGTGCCGTGAGTTGGGAGGATGTGTGCAAGGATACAGCTGTGATCACTGCAGCTTGAGCTCCTTGGTCAGTGCCAGAGGACAGTGTGTGAACCCTCCTGGTGTTGTTTTGGGGGTCCTGGGGCTCAACACACCTGCAGTGGAGTTCAGAGCAGCCAGAAAGGTGAGGCACTGGTATTGTCTTCATGCAGCCTTGTGTCTCCACGTGCCCTGCTGTCCCCTGACATGGGACTCCCCATCCTCCTTGGCTACCCCAAATTCACCTCTCTGAGATGCAGGAGGAAAATGTGCTGCTGAGGCCCTGGCACATCAGGCACCCCACCCAGGGCTGCCCCATCGCCTGACCACACGCACAGCCGGGCCAGGGATCATCCTGAAAAGCATCCCAAAAGCTTGCCAAAGCCCCAGCTGCAGCACAGCTGGTGGCATGCCCTGGGTGGAGATGTGCAGGCAAACTTTGCTCCCCTAACTGGGGTTTTGCGACAGCATGTGGGTACAACCCCAAATCCGTGGGTACCGCATGCCAGCCAGGCTCGCGAGAGATGCTGCAACTGAAGGCTCCTGGGCAAGTCCTTTAATCACATAATTAATTTTAGTAAAAGCTGCAGTCAGGGCATGAAATCTAATAAAAATGGAACTGATTTCCCAGGGGAGAACAGTTTCACAGAGAGGGTTTTACACCTCTCCATCACCAGGAGGGCAGTGGCTGCTGGCTCCTGCCTGCCTTGGACTTATTGCAGCCCTAGGAAGGGAATTAATGGAGCCTGTTTGCTCCAAGGATGATGCTCCCCACTGCCCTCTGCCCTCGGAGTCAGCCTGGTCCCCTGCCAGTATAAATTAGAGGGATTATTCTTGACGGGGAGCTGGTATAGAAGCAAAGAGCCCTGCGAAGGGGGAAGCAGCAGAAGCCAGGGATGGGGCGAGTTGCTCCTGCTGCTCCCACCCGTGTGGGATCCACTGGTGCCTCAGGATGGCCGAGGGGGAAGGAGAATTCCAAAACACTGCTGGGGAGTTCTTACCGACTAAATGATCCTTTCAGGACCTAAGGGAGACCAGAAGAGACAGAGCAGAGGGATGTTGGGGGTCCGTGACCTGGGGGGAGCATGAGGATGCCATTGCTCCAGGTCTTCACTCGGAGTTGGGGGAAGCATCTCTCTAGATCTGCAACACGTAGCATGTGGCCGGGTTGGGCTCCATGCCACCATCTCTCCAAATGCTTTGTTTCCAAAGAGCTATTCCCCAAAAGTTGTCCATCTGTCTTCCCAGATTTATGGCAGTGTCTGTCTAACAGCCGGTTCCTGCCTAACCAACAACTCCTGGTCCCAGGTGAACCCTCCTGCCCTCCCATGCCTGCTCAGCACCCCCACAGCAAGAACCCATCCCTCCTCCATCACCTCTGGCCCCACTCCCAGGAGACTCCCAGAAGCTTGTGGAGCTGTTTTCCCCAGCTGCCGCACGCGCTGAGTGACACAGTATCTCCAGAGCTTCCAATAAAAAGATTTATCACCATAGCTTTGGGGATTAAAAAGCAATCCATCTATGAGGCTGCCCCAGCCTTGTAAGGCTTTATTTTGTGCTGTGATTGTTTGCAACAGGCATGGGGTGGTATTTTTTTTCCTTTAGAGAGCCAAACTCAAATTTTACAGCGATTGCCTTGTGTATTTGGAGCCATGATAGATGGCCCCAGAGAGTGCCAGCGGATTTTTTGCCGGCCCTCTTCAATAAGCCAAGGGAAGGGTTGTTTTTTGCTTCCTTCGCACAGCCATGGTATGGGGAAAACTCGTACAGCATGAATTTGGCAATGCCCTTATGTCCCTGGGAGCCAGTGGTCCTTGGCTGGGGCTGGCCGGTGGGACGGATTGGGCTATCCAGCCATGGATGTGGCATGGCAGCCTTTCCCACTGAGACCCCAGCCCTTGTGAGGGGACCAGGGAAGCAGGAAAATGTAAAGGTCAGGAAACCACAGGGATGTGCTGGATTTGAGCTTGGCACTGATTTAGACTGCTTTTTGAACCATACTTCCATTATTCCTCTTACTCAAGGATAGTGGTGGCATTGAAAAGCTAACACTAGTGCCCACAGACTGGTGATGGGCAGCACGGAGGTAGACAGGAGGACAAACACACAGCAAGAGAAATATACGTAGGGTTTGATTCTGCTCCTTGGGGACACCCGTGGGCTCAGTTTTTAGCCCCACAACAAAGGCAACCCGTCTTCCCACCTGGCTCCTCTGTGGCTCCCCAAAGAGCCAGGACTCACATAGGGACCAGCTTCCCAGGGAGCCATGCACTGCAGGGAGGCTGGGAAGAGGTGGTGTGGGAAGCGTAGCCCACCCCAAGGGCCTGGATGGAGATGCTCAGCCACAGCTCCGAATGCTCAGGCTGACTCAGCCGCAGCATGGTGTGACTGTCACCTGCACTGGGGATGGTCTTCTCCATGTCACAGCAAACCCAAGAGCCTTGGAGGGGCCAGGCCACATGCAGGGAAGGGATGGGCTCCCCGTACCCCACCTCTCCCTGCCTTAGGGCAAGCAGGGAAGGGACACACTGGGGCTAGATGGGCAAAGGACATCTCCAAGAAGTGAAGGTCCATGTGTTATTTAAGGACCTCCCTGCCTGAAAGCCCACCATCCTCATGGAAGGGTGACGGGAAGGACGGAGGTGCAATGCACAGCGCCCTTCCCCACAGCCTAGCAGCAACGTGTAGGAAGAATTTCAAGGGCAAAGTGGCCCGTCAAAGCCAGCGAGCACCTTCACAAGGGACACCTGGGGCAGGGTTAAAACCCCACTG